TGTAAGAACTATTGAAGATTTGGGTTTGGTGTTAAATATCACTTCTCATTGTCTAGGCAAAATACAAATCTAAGTCTTTATTCTCTTCAAACATTAAGGTCCCATCATGAAATGTATTCACTACCAGCAGAATTTTATGAAGGAATTTTTGTGGTTGTAGGATTTAATAATTGCCTGTAATAGATTAGATTAGATGCTTCCAGGGTTGAAAATGCTGTACCTCCAAACTGAGATGTCACTAAAAATGTTAATGTAACGACTCTAAATTCAGCTACTGATCCCACTTAATAGATAGTTATCCTTCAGTGGAAAAAATGATTTAAAAATCATCATTTTCATCTAATGATTTATTCTAACTATAAATTTTTACCTCCAAACTATATTTTTTTGCAAAGAAATGAGAAAGAGTTTGGTCTAGGTTATTTCCAAGGTTTCTTTCAGTTCTATTTCTAAGTTATAGCTGACAATCCTTGCAGAAAGCCATAGCTGCCTTTGGTTAGTAACTAAATTGTATGTCCAGTTTCTTTGATGATGTTTCACTAAATAGACATGAACAACCGTTGAATTAGTGATGTATTGATCTGGGCTATCCTAATATTCTGTGTGCTTTTGTCAACCAAGGAAAGATTCCTCACCATTTTTCATGACTGCTACATGACATTCTACTGCTTATCTTCACGGAGCTTAAACCAAATTCCTCCTCATAAGTTAGATGAACCTTCATAATAATTAAGTATTTTTTTTTGCATGACTACCAACATTTGTTACATTAGGGAATAGATGTCACTAAAATGTATAAGGCCAAGATATTTATGATCAGCAATTTTACTGGATCAGAGGACACTCTGCAGTCTAGTCATAGATAAAGAAATTAATGTTAATACTCTCAAGAGCTGTTACAAGTGTCCATTCATGCCGTCTTGGAAACTTGTTATCTACGATATAGTCTCTGCCTTTGTGCATTCTACATTGTGCTTTTCCTTAATATTCCTTAGGCACATTTTGTCACTTCACTCAAGATTGCACCTATAATTTTGCCATTTTAACAGCATTATGACTATTTTTTTCATTTCCTTTTGTTACCAAAATGGTAAGCCAGCCAAGTACTTTGGGATTAAGTGGACCTTTATCCATAACCAAGCAATTATCAGTTAGTAACTGTTTTACATTTATGATACATTTTAAACTCAGGCTGGGTCTTGCTCAATAAATTACTCAGTTATAATTATATTGGCCACCTGTGGCTTCTTCACCTCCCCAAGTAATATTGCAATGGTTTCTTTTGAGTACTGTAACTGCTGCTTCAATGACTGGAAAATAACTGAAAAGCTCAAGGTCTGTTGCTTATCAGAGAACACAGATTTTTATATAGACATATTATCTATCAATATGTAGAAACCAGGGTATGGATTATCATTAGCTTCATATTAATATTGCTTGATATACCACTTTTAGAAATGTATTCAAAAGGCCTGATAATAAATGATAGTTTTACATAAACCATAAAAATAAAATTAACAAATCCTTAAAATAATAGAAAATTAAAATTCTGTTTAAATTCTTTTCATTTTTTTCTAAGATATATTTTCTCCTAAAACTATCCAATATTATCAGTAGAAGTAATTTTCATAATCTATCAGAGAAATTAGTAGTACTCCAAAATAAATGTCCTTGTTATGGAGATGAACTGTCACTGTCTAGCTAGCCCATCTTTTCCTAAACTTCCAGTCATGAGGATTTCAGCTCCCAAAACTGAGAGGACTTCCAGTCTTCAGACTGCATTGCTGTTCTTGAGAACTCTGTGCATGAAATCTATATATCTCAAGTTGCTCAGGTTTGAAAGATTGGCCGAATACAGGGGTATCAAATTGCTGGCCCATGGGCCGTTTCATCATACCGAAGCCGCACCCACCCCATTGCTGGCAATGTAAAAAGAGTTGTGATATGTCGCGGCATGTGACGAGGCGAGTTTGACACCCGTGGCCTAATAGATCTAAAAAGATCTGGAAGTGAAACTACTGAATCTCATTTTGTCTTAAGTGATTATCACTTTCTTAGAACCATAGAACTTTAGAACCATGGGATGTCCTTTTTTGTCTCCTCATAATAAACTGGGGTGACATGGCCAAGTGGTCAAAGCACTCAAACTGTATTCACTCTCATCCTTTTCTTTTCCTGCTTTTTCTTCTGTTCGTCTTCTGTGATTTTTCTCTGAAATAATGGCAAATAGCAGTTAAATAATATAACTATCTGAGTGAAGTATTTATTCTGAGATTGCTAGTGCTGGGGCTTACAACCTGTCTGGCTGGTTTGATTATTCATTACCCGGCTAAGACTTCAGGTGCAAAATTATTTTATCTGTTGTTGGTTTCTGCCTCTAGGCAACATTCATTACTTAATTTTTACATCATCTGTATTTTTTAAGTAATTGGTTTGCTGATTGTAGATGAAATGAATTGAATAGCAGGTTACAACCAGTGGCAAACAAATCATTTTGACATACAGCTGTGCTGGAGTGGAGGGGGAAGCTAGGCTAGTTTGTGTTACAATAACCTATGATTAATGTGATGCCTGAACACAGTAATCAAAAAGAGGTTCTTGAGTTAATACAGGAGCAAAATGGCAAGACAGTAATGCCAGGCATGGTATGCTTTCATTAATAATTGAGAGAATTATTGATCAAAAATGTTAGTTACACAGTGAATTATTCATGGTTAATAAATAGTGAGCTTAAAGAAAATCTGTACTGAAGCTATGCCATAACCCTGTAAAAATAAGGAAGGAGTGATATTCAACTTTGGAGATGGAAGAAGTGATCTTCAGTCCTTTTGGAGTCATACACAAGGTAGAGTCTTCATAACTGTGGTTAAATATCATAAAGGAGATTAGCTGAGTATGCTTTCAATTGCTATATATAAGATATCCCTGTCATTATTAGCCAGAACTATGTTTAACTTGTTTCAGAACACAGATGAGTGTTTTTTAAGTGAAGAATTCTGACTTATATTACTGAACAAATCGAACACTACTTTATATTAGGTTCAGTAATCCTGTGATATTCAGGTGTTTTGAAGCATGACAGTTGCTTATTTTGGTCCATGCAGAATGGGGGCTGACAGGTGGTAAAGACAAAAGCATCAAGCAAGATAGCTTGATTTTGATTGTTACAAACAACTTTTGGGCCTTTAAAAGTCTATAGTCAACTAGTAAAATTTGGGGGGGAAATATTTGCAGGATTAATGTAATGTGTCTTGAATTTCCAATCTAGTGCCATATGAATGTATTTGGCTATAACTTTAACCACAATACCTATTGATGGGAATTTTAGTCCAAAATATCTACACAGTGTTTGGTCAGAAAGAATTCTTATTGTGTAAGGACTTCCACAAGAACCTGAAGACAATATCACTTGGTCTCTGTACCCAATGGGAGAGCACCACATGGAGGAGATTATTAGACTAATAGCAGATCCCCCCTCCCCCCTATGCATTCTGCTCCCTCCCTGCCATCTTTTAATTCATATTGCTGTACTTTCATTGCTTTTTATTGTTTCATTGCTTTTACTATTATTATATTTACAATATTTATACTTTTACATTTTATTGTTGTAAGCTGCCCAGAGTAACCCCATAATGAGGTGGAGTATAAATAAATGTAATAAATAAATAAAAATAATACCATTTTTCTATTCATCTAATAGAATTACTTTTAATTTATCTATAAAACATTCATTTGCATTGTTAATAAAACTCTGGAACAAATAGTACAATTATAATTATATTTACATTACAATCATTACATTACAATTACATTGTAATTGTACAATTACAATATATCCTCAGGTATATATTTTTACTTGGTTAAACAGAATTGGATTTACATGGTTTTTGGGGCAGAGGAAGAAAGAGATTAGTATTTAATAAGCATATAGAAGGCCAATAAAAAGGCAATAACAGTAAAAATGAAGCTTTACTAGCCTGACAATACAATATAATATTCATAGTACAGCAAAGAAAGGATTTAATTAAGGAAGCAATTTTTAACATTTTCTTCTTCTTTTTTCATTTAGGCAAATGTGCCTTTTAAAATAGTCATAGTTGTACAGGTAGTCCTCAAGTTACAACCACAATTGGGACCAGAATTTCTGTTGTTAAGCAAATGACTTGGGCCTAATTTTATGACCTTTTTTGCCACAATTGTTAAATAAGACATGTCAAACTCATGATGTCACATGACGTCACGCGACATATCAGAACTTTTTCCCCATTGCCGGCAATGGGGTGGACACGGTTTTATTGTGACGCATCGGCCTGCGGGCTGACAGTTTGACACCCCTGTGTTAAATGAATCACTGCAGTTTTTAAATGTCATTAGGCGAATCCGGCTTCCTGCATTGACTTTCCTTGTCAGAAGCTGTATGGGAAGTTCTCAAAGGGCAATCATGTGACCCTGAGATGCTACAACCATCCCTAATACAGGCCAAGCATCCAAACTTTGATCAGGTAACCATGGGAATGGTACAATGGAAATGATGCGAAGACTGGTTGTGAGTCACTTTTTTTAGTGCCATTGTACTTTTAAAACAGTCACTAAACAGATGGTTGTAAGTTGAGGACTACCTGTAATAATGATATATAGTCTAAGACATAGACAAATCTCACTATTAAGTATGAACCATTGCTTTGTATAGAAAAGAATGCTCAATAGATCTGCATGGAAAGCCCTGGGATTGGCAGAAAGAAGCCGACTTTCAGTTACTGATTCATTTCTGCTCAAGCAGGATCATTAAAAAAATATATAAAGTTTTAAAAACATCCTGTTGTATAATTTTGCTGAACATGAGTTAAATGATTTCAGCAGGCTAGGGAAGTGGGAATAACTCTATAGTTACTTTCACATGAATGCCTGGAAATGCAATTTGGATTCCTGCAACGCATTCAGGATGCCAACATGAAGTTTGATTGGTGCCTCATCTCTGCTTTCTCTCTGCTTTATTTAAGGACGTCCCATGAAATGGAGATGACACATGCTGAAAAAGAAGCAAATGGATTAGACAATCCCACTTTTATTGTAAGCTTATATTGTCATTTTAAATTAAATATCTGCATAAAAGAGTTTCAATCGTATAAAACAAAGAGTAAGAATGATGTGGGCAATAGCTGGTGTCTTGTGTGATCAATTGATCAGTTTATTGTAAAAACTATGCTTTTCCTTCCTCCTGAGATCTAATAGAATGGCATTTAACACATTTGAATCTAAGATTTAACATTTGCTGCTTGTATTTCCCTTTTTTATTTTGAAAAAAGTAGGAGAAAGGACTGATATTCATTTTAATATGTGCCCTTCCTCCTATTTTTGTCAGATTATTAATTCACTATGAATTATATACTGTAATTTCCTTCTCAATTTTTTAAAAAAGATAATGTATTATTTCTTGCTATTCACAGTCTACCTGAAATAGAACAGACTATGACAAATATAATGTTACATTTTGGGAAGAATTAGCACAAGAAAATTTTACTTATTCTTGGTTCCAATATAGGCAACTACTAGATAGATGGAAGATGGATTGTAAGGTGGGTTTTCTTAGAGAAGATGAAAATCTTATTAAGCAACTTAAGGATCAAAGACAAACCCACATTAAGAGAATTTATGGGGTTTTAGTTGAATTGGACTCAGAAACGGAACTAATTAAAGATTGTATGATTAGATGGGCGCAGAACTTTGGTGAGCCAGTTTCATTGGACACCTGGGAAACTATTTGGGTGAGAAATGTCAAATTTACTCAAGCACAGAATCTAAGGGAGAATTTTTATAAAATGTTTTATAGATGGCACCTTGATCCACAAAAAATGTCTTACATGTACCCTGACGTGCAACCTAAATGTTGGAGATGTGGTTATAAGGAGGCTTCCTATTATCATATTTGGTGGTCATGTAGAGAGATAAAAGCATTTTGGATCAAAATATGGTGGAATATCCAGAGAATTTTTAGAAGGAGGGTAAAATTTACTCCGCAATTATTTTTGTTAGGTATTGTTACAGATTGTGATACAAAGGAGGTTGTATTGATGTTAAACTTGATCACAGCCGCGAGGCTGTTAGTTGGACAATATTGGAAGAAGGAATCTTTGCCTACATTGCAGGAATGGTTTTTTAAAGTAGCTTATTTGGCGGAAATGGCAAAGATTTCGGCTTTCTTAAAGCAACAAACGCAAGAGAAGTTTTTTGCTATCTGGGACAAATGGATAAAATTTATACAATTTAGATTGGGTATACAAAAATATTATATAGCTTTTTCATAAGTTTTATTTTTATATATATTATAGATATCTTTTTTATATATATAAATATAAAGTTTTTAATTTAATTTTTATTTTTTTTTTTTATTATTTCTTAAGCCTATATTCTGCTCTGGGAAGCTCAGGGGGGGGGAAGGGAGGGTTTTTGGGAGGGGTGTGGGGTGGGGTTTTTTTTTTATATGTATTGTTTAATTTTTTTTTCTTTTGTATATGTTGTTTTTTGTTCTGTATTGTTTTTGTTTTTTTTGTAAAATTTATAAAACTTTTAATAAAAAAAAAAAAAAAAAAAAAATATAATGTTACATTTTAAGAAGCTTTGACATTATTTGTTTGGAAGGGTTTTTTTTTATATCACTTCTCATCAAAAGAAATCTTGAAATAGTTTTATAGCCTTTTGCATGTTCTTTCTCTCTTTCTTCTCCTACTCTGTGCCATTTATGTATTTACATCTATAGTCATTTAGTTATAATTTGAAATTTGTAATTCTCTGAATTTTGAAAAAATTAACAGACAATTAAAAAAAAATCTCCATTTTTATTTCCTTCTTAAATTTTTGTTGTCTCTTTTGAATGATCTATGTATCTATTGTTGGAATGCCAAGCTTTCAGGAATTCCCTGGCAGTTTTGATTTATCTTGGTCTAGACTACCGTACTCTCACTTTCCCAGTTGAAATTGTTGTTGAGCTTACCCATATGTTAAGAGAGTAAGGAGTTTTCATCATGTCTTCTGACTGCTAGTTGGTGTTTATGGATACACTCTGCTAGTCTTTTGCCTGTCTGTCTACATAGTAGTTGTTACAGACTTTACACTCTGTGTTATAGATGACTCCTGGTTTTTCCTTCTGAGTCTTTTGATTTCCTTAAGAAGTTTTGGAGAGCTTTAGTTGGTGTGTGTTCTACAATGCTGTTGTGTGGTTGTAATGGTTGTTTTTGAGATGTTTTTGATGTATGATAGTGGGTTTTTTCCATAACTTATATTATTAGTCTTGTAGCTGGTTGAGAAGTTAGGCATTTTTGGATAAAGTTCTGTGGGCACCCATTTTATCGGAATATGTTCTATAGATAGTCTCTTTCCTTTTCCTGGTGTTCTGTGCTGCTGTAGTGGGTTTGTGTTCATTTGAATACTGTTCTTATTCCTCTTGTGGGAAGTTGGTTTGTTAATATGGTAATGAAGCACTTAATGTTGGTTCAACCCTGAACTGCATATATTTTCTTCATATGAGAAGATTCATTGTTTCTGCAGACTGATGATGGCAAATATTGTAACTTCACTGAAGATGGTGCTGCAGTTTTAGACTATGAAGAAAAACCAGAAGACTTCAACAAGCAAGGTGGTAACAAGCTAGCATACACTGTCACAGATATACCTCCATGGCACCTTTGCATCTTCCTGGGAATTCAGGTAAATCTTCAAAGAACAAGTTATCTGGGAATTCTTGGCAGGGATATATTGTGCAAAAAGATAAATAAAAATGTGAGTCAGCTAACACCACATAAGGATGTCTATCAGACAGACAAATTGTCTGTTTGTGTCTGTCTGTCTGTCCGTCTGTCTGTCCGTCCGTCCATCCATCTATCTTTCCTGCAGTTTTTTGGGCAAGATTTTCAGGAGTGGCTTGCCACTGCCTTCTTCCTAGGACTGAGATAAAGGGACTGGCTCAAAGTCACCCAGTTAGCATCATGCTGGAGATGGGACTAAAACTTAGGGTCTCCTGGATTTCAGTCCACAGCTTTCAACCTCTATCCCAAATTTGTAAAAATAAACATAAATAAATAAAAGAATCTGGGGGTCCTTTATTTTTCCTTACAAGTATGACACTTATAGCAGCAGAGATTTTCTTGTCAACTTAGAGCAAAATCCTGTCAGTCACTTGGAGTTGGACAACATAAATTTAATAAATATATTTTAGAAAATAAACATTTTTGAATTTCTGAGACTGCTTTTAATTAATTGTTGCCCTCTTTTTTTTGACAGTGTATCTTCACCAGAAGGGAAACTAGTTCCTAGTTCTGTCTAGGTCAATGAAGTGTGACAACTACCATGCCTTTCATAACTGTGCATAGAGATTTCTCTTCTATCTCTCCATTGCCTGAGGTCTTTGACAATACTTCACCTATCTTTTCTTGTTTAAGTAGAAAATATTACTAGATCCAGCATACTGGGAAAGCATTATTAACCAGTTCTTTCAAGAAGCAGTTTTCTGTTATAAGTCACTTCACATTAACCTGAGTGTGAAGGCTGAAACTGGAACACAGGGGATTCCTGATTAGAGTTTCTACTATTCTACAGCTTCCTCATTCTGGAAGTAGCATGCACTGGATACCACCCACTTAGTTAATTATAGCCTAAGCAGATTTAAAATGTGTATTTATGGAGAAGGAATCATACTAAAATACACTAAATTGTTTGAATAGATTAAGTGTAAGCAATTCAAGTTAGCAAAGGAATTAAATCACCTCTGGTTTCAATTGAGTAAATATATTCCAAAAATCAAAGAGAAGTTCCACCAAGAACTTTAGAAATAATTACCTAATTTAAATGCTACAAGTAACTTATGAAGCAATTCACAGGAACGTACATGGAAAAAAAAACACGTATTGTTTCACAGTATGGCCTAGTTTAAACTTAATTCCTTGTGAGCTGCTCAAAACCAAAGGAAAATTCACAATGTAGAGATTTCTGCAAGGAGTCACCTTCCAGTTGGGAGATACTTCAGAATTTATCTAATGCAAAGCATCCTGCTAGTTCAGGTATAATTAATAGTTGAACATCTACATGTGGTTCAAAATCTTATATGAAGGAAAACTTTTAAAGTACTTTCTGCCATTTGAGTTGAACTATCAGTTTAGCCCAGTGGTTCTCAACCTGTGGGTCGGGACCCCATTTGGGGTCGAATGACCATTTCACGGGGGTCGTCAAACCACGCTGTCCGCCATTTTTTTCCCTTTTCCCTAGCTGTCCTACTCCTTCTTATTGGTGGCCACACCCACTTGGGAGTCACCACAACTTGGGGAACTGTATTATGGGGGTCACGGCATTAGAAAGGTTGAGAACCACTGGTTTAGCCAAACTAGCTAAAATTTATTTGAATTAGTTTTCATATGGTCAGAGGACTTCTGGAAAATCAGATCTGTCCTTTGCTAAGATAAGATACAGATACCACCCAAAAGACATGGACCATTCAGTCCATTGCATAGCTTGGAAATGGAGATACAAAAATATGAACTTTGATCTCTCTGTAAATAGGACTTCTGGTACATATGTTTCCTGATTTCATTGTCATCAGTTACTGCAACAACACATGGATTTGTCAAACTGGGGGAATTTAATAGAAAAGGAAGGTCAGGTAAAATGAATGCTAGCTATCTGTGTGGCCTTGAGTTCTATGACAGTTTAAGGTGTCTCTTCTATTTTATTTTTTTTTCTAAATTTTTAGGCATTTAAACTTCATTTTCCTTTATAGTGAAATGCACTGAAGCTTGATAAAGCAACAAACTAATTTAAACAGTAAATTTTATTGTAAAAACAAAAACAAGCTAAAGGGAGTCTCAAAGTATAAAGACATTTAAAGAAAATCACATCAAAAGTTTGGTGGTAGCATATCTGAGGCTTAAAAGAGAAGGAGCTTATAATATTTTAAGATGGTCTTCTATAATATAGGCACCACCACACAAATAGCATTGTTGTATGCACCCACCATTACAGCTGGTAATCAGGACTCTTTTTAACTGCATTTTTTCCCTCTTCTGTTTCTTAGCATTACCTGACTGCACTTGGAGGTCTCGTCGCAATTCCTCTCATCCTTTCCAAATCACTTTGTCTGGAGCAGGACACTCTGACACAAAGTCACCTGATCAGCACCATCTTTTTCGTCTCAGGGATCTGTACGCTTCTTCAAGTTATCTTAGGAGTAAGGTAGTCATATATATCTACAGCATGATGCCTCTTTCTGATTACATCTACCCATTCTATCAGGTCCAGCCGGAAGGGCACACACAGGTCCTATCTGCTAAGGAATTCTATCTGGGGGGACCCAGAAAATGTGCCTTTTCTGCTGTGACATTAAGATTGTTATATTGTTTTAATTGTGGTTGTGGTTGTATGTCACCCAGAGTCACATTCTCCTGGACAGAAACAGCACTGCTTGCATTTGTGGATAATCTCTGACAAGAGAGGGGTGAGAGTAGCGCATACCTCCTTGCTCTCTTAGTGGCTTCCAATACCATTGATTGTGGTATCCTTTGAGGCCAGCTGTGGGGTTTGAGGCTGGGTAGCACAGTATTAAGATATGTTTTTACTAAGGTGCATTTTTTTTTAACAATACTTATTTAAAGAAACTTTTCATCAGCTGTTTCCACTAGGAATTAACGAAATCTTGTATGAGGCTTTTAAAGCAGTATAATTATTGGGAGTTTTTAAGCAGTGGTGGGGTATTATCTTCTTCCTTACATAATCTTACAAGGAATGTCACCACCTTGAAAGATTTCTAAAGACCATTTATCCATTCATATGATCATGGAGGGAATTTAAACATGTGCTGTTGGATGCAATGGCTACTTATACTCCAATATGACCCACCCTATTTCTTTGATATAATAATAATAATAACATAACATCATCATCAACAACAACAACAATATTAATAAAGTTGGAAGGGACCTTAGAGATCTTCTGTCCAATCCCCTGCTCAGGTAGGAAACCCTATACCAGGGCTTTTCAACTGGTGATATGCATACCACCTGTGGTACATTAGCACATGGCAGGTGGTACGCGGCCCTGCTCAGCCAAGTATAGTGGGGGAGGGAACAAGCCAGAGCAGTGCAGGATTTACTATGAGAGTCCTCTGAGCTGCAGAGTGGCTGGGGCGAGGCAAAGCCCAGGCTTACTTCTGGATGAGAAAGGAGGAGGAGGGGGGCAGAGACAGGAAAGCCTATAAAAGGAGGCAGTTTGGGCAGGAGAGGAAGAGAGGAAAAAAAGACGCAGCCTTGGGTGGAGGCAGAGTCAGCTCTAGCTGCACCGAAGGGAAAGAAGGAGGAGGGCGGGGGGGAGAGGAGAGGAGATCAAGCGGGCTGGCCATGAGCCAATCTACAACTTCTGTGGCAGCCATCCGTGCTGGCAGCAACAGACAGGCAAGAAATGCAGCGGGGGAGGGGTTGCCCTCCATGAGGAATGAAGAAAGGCAGCAATGAAGAAAGGCAGCATCGGCTGGAGGTGAGGCACGGAGGGAGGGAGATGGAGAGTGGAAGGATTCTTATGTGCTTTCGTGATTTTGAAGTTCTGGGATTTGTTCAATGTGGGCTTTGTGTTCTTAAGGAGTGTTTGGCAATTTCTATTGCTCTGCTATTGTTAGCTGTTAGTTTTGCTGCAAGGGATTTTGAAGTATTTTTCTCCTGAATGGATTTTGCTTGTAGCATTCCTTTACTTATGAATGGAGCCATTTGGGGAGGCTGCCTTAGCCAACAAGAAGCAACGGATGGAAACTAATCAAGGAGAGAAGCAACCTAGAACTAAGGAGAAACTTCCTGACAGTTAGAACAATTAACCAGTGGAACAACCTTCCTCCAGAAGTGGTGAATGCTCCAATACTGGATGTTTTTAAGAAGAGACTGGACAGCCATTGTCTGAAATGGTATAGGGTTTTCTGCCCGAGCAGGGGGTTGGACTCCAAGGTCCCTTCCAACTTATTATTATTATTATTATGGATCATCGCACAGTCAGCCAGATGTTCAGACTGGATTTGGCATTTTGTCTACCTATCGAGTCCTTACCCAGGACCTGGGATAGGCAGATGTGGATGTTTGATGGTATTATGGATATCGTTGCAGGATGGAAGCAGTTCCTAGTAAGGCTTCCTTTTGCAATTGACTAATAGCGAATTTGTCAATGCCAATGGTGTTCAATTGGCATTTTATATATATATATGTTTTCTGAGGTTTTCGCGGGTGTTTGTATGTAGGTCTTTGGTTATTCGGGTTTTCTCCCGCATAAAATTGGAAGTGTCTTGGTGACGTTTCGACGAAGTCCCATTCGTCATCTTCAGGCTGGTGTTTTCAGCTTCGTGCTTCGAGGAGCAATGTGTGGTCTTAGCTGTTTCTTCCTTTTAACTGCCATTGGGGGTATGAACTGATTGGGTGGGAGCTTGGCTGTGTTCTGATTGGGTGGGAGGTGTGTTCTGATTGGTTAGGGGCTTGGCTGTGCTCTGATTGGCTGGGGGGTTGGCTGTGCTCTGATTGGCTGGGGGGTTGGCTGTGCTCTGATTGGCTGGGGGAGTGTTCTGTTTCGGTGGGGGCTTTGTTGTGCTCAGGTTAGTCTGAGTTGCAGGGGGGTTTAAGATGGTGGGCTGCCTTGCTATTTTTTGGCTTCACGTTCGTGGTCGTACCTCATCTTCATGGTGGGTGTCAGTTTGCTTCATGTATGGATTGGAGGGGTTTAAAGTGGCTAATGATGCAGCTGTGGTCTGGCTTCTGGTTTGTGGTCATGCCTCATCATCGGTGTGGCTTTGGGTTTGCTTTTTGCGTGTATGTGTGGTGGTGACATCCTGTGTGGTTTTTGTGAGTGTGGGTCTGGTGTCATTTTTTGTGTTAGGGAGTCGTTTGTCAATAAGGGCGGGTTTGTCAATAAGGGATGGTAGGCGGGAGGTATCATCTCGTTTGTTCATGCTGTGTGGGCGTTTTTCTATCTCGATGGCTTCTCTGATTATTCTGTTATTAAAATGTTCAGTTTTGGCGATAGTTCTGGTATTTTTAAAGTCAATTTCATGTCCTGTGGCTTTAAGGTGTTGGACCAGGGAAGATGTTGGTTCCTCTTTTTTGACTGAGTTCTTATGTTCTTCAATGCATGCACTTATTCTTCTGTTGGTTTGTCCGATGTATGTGTTGGGATAAGCAGTGCATGGGATTTCATATGGAGGTAAAGCAGCCAGCTAGGAAGCTTGAATTGGCATTCAATTGGCATTATATTATTATTGGCATATTATTATTATTATTATTATTATTATTATTATTATTATTATTATTATTATTATTAACAGCCAGTACTTACTACATTTTTTTTCTTCCTTAAGTGCCGGCTGCCGGTTCCTTAATTTTCCTTCCATCTCTTTTTGATTGGAGAGCAGGTTGCCACTGGTCATTTCCTCAGCCCCTTCATGGGTCTTGCCCTTGCCCCGTGGGTGGAACGCATTCCCCTCGTGCACGTCGGCTGCCAGCTACCAGCTGCTCATGCAGATCCATTAGGCTGCCGCCCAGAGCTGGGCGCCTAGCATAAAGGAGGTGAGGACGTTGGCTTGGAAGCCCCGAGTATAGATGGTAGGGCACGCCCAGGGCCAGCAGGCAAAAGGCCACCCTGAGCGAGGAAAGCCAGATCCCCAGTGGTGCCATAGCCGCCGAGGCCCAGCAGAGATGGTGGGGAGGCATGCAATCCTGGCTGGGATGGGTGGTCATGGGGCTGTTGGAGATCTAGCTTTCCCCACTCAGGATGGCCTTTTGCTTGATGGGCGTGGGAGTGCTCTACCACCTCTATTCAAGCTTCCTAGCTGGCTGCTTTACCTCCTTTGTGCTTGGCGGGCCAGGCATTCCGGGCAGTGGCGGCAGCCTAATGGACCTGCGTAAGTTGCTGGTGGCGGCAGCCCAAGGCAGGGCCAAGGTGTGTCAGGTGCATGAGGGGAACAGGTTCCATGCAGGGGCCAAGGGCAAGATCTGCAAGGGGGCTGAGGAGATGACCAGCAGCGACCTGCTCTCCAACTGCAAGCAAAAACAGATGGGATGGAGTAGGTGCGTCTGGTGGTCTGCATCATGTGCCTCCCCGTCCCCTCTACTCTGCCTGGTGCTGGAGGGCTGGCCTGGTATTTGCAGTGGGCTGTGGAGCCCCAGAGTGCGCTGGTTGAGGGACAAGCAGGCTGTGGCTGCTGACAGACACCGTCGGCCCCCATGCGCTTGCTGGCCTCTGTGTGCGGGGGCCAAGGGTATCAGGCAGTAGCTGCCCCAGACCCTGCCTTGCCTTGCCTTGCCCCATGGCAATGGCACCCTCTCCCTGCACCCTGCCTCACCTCACCTCACCCCATAGGACGAGCCTCCTGCCCACTGCCCCACCCACTAGAGACCCCCTGGATCTCCCCCAATCCTGCCCGGCCCCCACAGGCATCCCCCCATGAGCAACATCGAGGTGGCTGCACCCACCCCAGCCTCGCCCACTCAGTCAGCCATGACTACCGCAGCCACACCCACCCAGTGGGCCACGATTACCCGGCCCCCTTGAGGGTGCCACAATCCTGATATAGCCCTCAATGAAATTGAGTTTAACACTACTGCTCTAGCCAAAAGCTGGCACTAACAAACTTAAGAAACACAAGGGCAATTGGGCAACTAGCTGCACTTTTTTTAATGAAAATTTTCTTTTTTAAATGAATGAAACTAAATCTGTAGTTACAACCACAAATTTACTGGGAACTAGAATCACAAGAAAACAATGGAAGGCAGCAATCACTTGCACAATTCTAAACAAAATCAGTGCAGACAACCTAGCTAAACTATGTATTTATAACAGATGAATAGTCTCTTGGGGTTGAGCAGACGTTTCCAGTTCATTTAACTGAAGGAATACTTTGAATTAAATAATCTGGACTTGGATGCTATTAGGGAGACATTCCTAAATCTTGCTATGCCAAAAGAAGCAAAAAGTTCTATGTCAGTGTCTTGACTCTAGCCAACAAATCAGAAAATTATATAGCTGTATTGAAATAAAGGGTTAGTGATAGAACTTTAATTTGGATATACAGTATGCACAAAACTGGGATTAGATTCAAAGGCCTAAATGGCTACAGGTAATCTTTGATTTATGACAATAATGAAACCCAGAATTGCTGTTGTACGTCATAATGGTCATGAGTCGAGGCATCCATGTGACTATCTTGATTT